TGCATCATTCAGTATTTTACCCTATGTTATTGTCGCTCCGCGGGAGAAAGATGAGGCTTTCTACTCCCGTAAGGATTTACACCCTCGGAAACCCTGTACAGGGTCGCTATGGGTTGGAACCGACTGGACGGCACTTAACAACAACAACAACATTGCAAAAAGCAACTTTTCTTTTAGTTGTTCATAATTCTTACATGGTAGTAGGTCCAAGTGATTAAAACATGTATGGCTTCTTAATAACTAACCAGGTGTCTTTACTAATTTTTTCAATGAAAAATTTTAAGACCCATTAGTTCCTGTTAGCTCAGCAAATACTCCTAGAAGTAAATGGCAGGTTCCATCCACTGACAAACTGCTAAAGTTGCATTCATATATCACTGTCTCTCTCTTTCACAAACTCCCAAAACCAAATGATTTGCTTGTTGTGTCTTGTATAATATTAAAAGTGTTTCTTTGCCAATTTGTCAAGTCAGCCTCCTGCACACCAATTCTTTTTCATCAAACTACTTACTACAGTCATTGAAGGGGAATAACTTCATTAAAGCCATCAAGGAAAGCTTTGCTCTGTTCTTATACTCCACAAGAAAAGCACCCTTCTATCATTACACCAATAGATGCTCTTTGTTTTCCTCAGTCTCTAGGATATTAGATCTCCCAACTTCAGATCATGTGAAAATGACTTTTCCCAAAACCTCCATGTTAATAGAAAAGTACATTTCTAAGCCACATTCTTCAATGTTATCATCTCTTATCCAAATAAGGGTGTTCTAAAATCCAGTACCAATAAAACCCAAATCCTTAATAGTATGTGTTCTTCTAAGGAATGTTTTACTTGTTCGTTCTCTCCCCAATTTTCTAGTGTGTATTTACAGAGCTTGTTAATTAACTGTTGCTCTTGCTAACACAGCATCTGCTAACACAGTCATCTGTGATGACTCCAAACTCGAAATTCCAATGAAATTTGTAGGGTCACATATATAGTTAGCTGTGCATCCCATTTTGGATTAAAAGAACTACTGGAGTTTATTGTTTAATTTCTTCATCTGTGGCTAATTCTGTATATATTGCTGTCCCAAACAAGTTCTTTTTTTTTTTTTAGTTTGGCACAGGAAACGGTTACGTGTAACTGTAACCATCCACTGTAGTTACTACTAGTAGCAGACACTAGTGAAGCAGTGAGCATGTTCCCAAATTCAGCTTAAATTAAGTACCAAAAACTGTGTCAGACTCATGTTAGGGACACCACCCTGGCGTGAACTCGAGCAGCCCAGGCTGCCTGCAGCTGCTTGAAATTCGCTCGCCACCCTCATCCATACCCTAGCCTCTCCCTACCCACACTCTCACCATACACCTCCCTCAGGAGTGCGCTGCGTGTTTGCGTCACCAGCACAGCGTTTTGAGCTCATGCCTTCCTGCCAGACTAATTGTTTCCTTTCCTTAAGTCTTTGATTTTCTTCCCTCGTCGTTTTTCTGGACAGGAAGAGACCAATAGTTGTGCCTTATATAGTTGCTTATGGTTAAGTTTTCATAACTTTACCCCTGTATGCTATACTATATTCATGGATATATTTACAGCACATATAAATACATATGGAGAAATAGCCTTTGTCACAACCAATATATTATTTATGAGTGTAGTCCCATTTGCCTTCTCACCCTTGTCCTTATTTATTTATTCATAGATTATTATTACTGTTCTTGCAGGTTGGGTGTGTAATAGTATTACTGTTTGTTGTTCTTGGCTGTTGTGTTTCTCCCAGTATCGTCTTGCCTTGATCATTTTGTGCTCACCACTCCTTACTGTACATTGCCTTTCCCTTCACCCAAGTTAATAGATGCCTATCCTCACTTAGTCACTTAACAACAGTTAGTAATTCACCCTTTCTTCCCTCCCATCCCTAGTAACCATCAAGTGTGAAAGTCATTTCTTGACTCTTTAGAGAAAAAAAAAACAATATTTGTTCTTTTGACAAATTGCACTCAACATTATGTTCTCTAGGCTCATCCACTTTTGGATGTGTTTCACTGATTTGTCAACATAGTGGGTTTTAACAGACAACCTTGCAGTTAGCAGTTTAGTGCTTATCCTACAGCGCCACACTAGGCCTCCTAACATTTTGTAGTATTCCATTATGTATATGTTCCATAGTTTGTTTATCCTTTCATTTGATGATGGGTGCCTACCAATAGATACCCTCTTTTTCCCTCACCTGCACGTATAAATATGCTCCTAGGACTTCTTTCTTCATTTCGCATTTGTACTACTATTTTGGTTATAATCAATGCCAGTCTCCCTGAATAATAGTGCAGTGAAGAGCTCTGGTAGCTTAGTGGTTACAAGCTGGGCTGCTAACCTCATGGGCAACAGTTTGAAACTACCAGTCATTCTGTGGGAGAAAGATGAAGCTTTCTGCTCCTCAGAAACCCTATGCAGGGTCGCTATGAGTCGGAACTGATTCCATGGCACACCACCACCACCAAGGGACAGAGTAAATGGGAACTCTTACCCCAGTAATCATAGGCAGAAACCTAAGAATCAGGAAGAAATACTTTATTATTCCAATAACACAGTGGGCTTTGTAACAAGACCCAGAGCTGGGAGGAGTTGGCAGTCTCTTAGTACCCACGGGCCAGGTGTTAATTAATTAGGTCATGAAAATTAAGGGCAGAGGTTGTCGTTGTTGTTAAGTGCCATCAAGTTGCTTCCAACTCATAGAAACCATTGATAGGGCTTCCAAGGAGCAGCTGGTGGGTTTGAACCACCACCCTTGTGATTAGCATTCCAGTGCTTATCCTAGAGCACCACACCAGGACTCCAAGTCAGAGGAAACAACTGCCAAAACAGACAGCTTAGACCTGAGTGAGCTGGATGGAAGACATGGACATTGAGTCAACAACAGGTCTTGCTGATTGGGTGGAAGGCAAGGACACTCCTGGGAGATGCTGAAAGGAGAGAAAGTCGATACAGCAAATGGGCAGGGTTTTTGCCTTGCTGTAAACAAGAACAGAAGAATGGGACAAAGACTGGAGGGCAAAGTGGAACCTAGAAGGTTGGTGTGGGGTTGCAAGATGGATTTGCTGCTGAAGGGAGAGATGCAGTAGATATTAACAGGACAGAAGAGACAGTCCTGAGGACGAAGGAGGTGACAGGGACAGATGCCCATAGTACAAGATTTAAGGAGGTATTCATTCTGGGTACCTACCTTGTACTTGCATAACTCTGAGAGTGAGTGCCTCTTTTGACTTTGTGTCCTAGGCCCTCGCTTGCTTCACCCTAGTCCCAGTCCTGGTGGGCCCATGCACATAGCTAGGAGCATGACTGAGGCGCAGATAGTAGCTGCAGGGAGTTGGAAACTTGGCCATGCAGGGGCTGGAAGCTCTTCCTGATAGCACCTAAATTCAAAGAGTAGGAAGAGAGGAAATCCTGGTGTACTGATGTAGGTGTTGAAGGCCCTAAAAAGAAGGCTTGGTGGAGAGCCTGCAGGAGCTGGGAGCAGGTATGGCGGAGTGGCATGTGCCCTGGGAGGCACTTGAAGGGGTGGGAGTGTCACCAATGAGCAATTTCTATTCTCTAGAACAGTCTGTCTCCATAGCCAGCTGTGACAGATGATTCAGCAATTTAAAATAAATTGCCACCAAACTATTACAGAATAAACAAAGTAGAACACTGAGGTTGGAGTGAAGACAACAGGAGTGAAGGCCAGAGTACGGAAGAACAAAGGGTTAGAGCAAAGGAGAAAAAGGCCCAATGAAATGGATTGACACAGTGGCAATGGGCTCAAGCTTAAAAACAATGGTGAAGATGGGGAATAGCCAGGCAGTGTTTTGTTCTGTTGTGCATAAGTCTCTATGAGTTGGAACCGACTTGAAGGCACCTAACAACAACTGATTGTTAGGTGGAACCCTGGGAGAGGATCTGGCATCTGGACCTGGCATGACACTCACTCTGTTCCTTCTTGAGTCAGGGCTTCCAACTGTCTGAAAAAGCAAATATTTACCGATTCCACTGTGTCCCAAACTAACTCTCCCCTCTCCCAACCCAACACCCAACTCCGAGGTTAGGTTCGCCCTCCTTTGTAGTATAAATATGAGGTCTTTTTGATGGTAAAAGACATATCAGACATACCTCTGTCCTGAGGTAAGAACAGGTTCACGTCCAGCTCTGCATCAGGGAGTCATGTATTTACACATATAAGCTGATGGCACTTTGGGATACGTATTAGACTGCTAACAGGATGGTTGGTGGTTCAAACCCACCAGTCGCTTCTTGAAAGGAAGGAGGCTTGTCTTCTTCCATAAACATTCAATAGCCATCAGTTCAACTCTGCCTTACAGAGTTGCTGTGATTAGAAATTGGCTTGATGGCCATGGCTGTGGTTTGGTTTTCAACCCTCTGAGTGGGTCCTCTAAGCAGCACTGTTTTACAGATGCAGAAAGTAGACTCAGAGCTGTTAGGCAACTTGCGCACACTCACTTGAACAATTCAGATCTGACCCCTGATGTCTGGGTCTTGAGTCATGCTTTCTGGGATCACAAAAAAGTTGCAGGTTGCTAATATGAATCTTATTGTCTGCCTACCCAACCCTCAGAAACTCTCAGAGGCACCAGAGGGCAAGTGCGCTGGTTCTGGCCCATCATTTGAAGGTCCTCCTGTCTCACATCTTTTGGCCCATTGGCAACCCCTGGCTGAGGTTGGTGATACAGGCATTTTGTGGTGAGTGCACAGGGTCTCACGGAAGTCATGGAGCCAGGAGAACTGGGATCTGAACCGAGAGCTGCAGAGCTCCAAGACCAGACTCCTTCCTGGCCTCTGCAGGGCACTCCCTATCTCCTGACTACCTCCTGAATCACCTAGCACAGACCTGGGGCTGGGGCTGGGCTCCAGCCAGGTGGGTGGACTAAGCTTTCGCAACAGTTCCTTCTCCAGCTTAGTGGGGCTAAAGGGCAGGGATCTCACTGCACCCATCACTTCTGTGCATGGTCGATTGGGAACAAGGCACATGGAGATGGAGTCAAGAGCTGGGTGGAGGGTCCAGGTCTGGATGGCCTGCCTGCTGCTAGCATTCTCTGCCATGGCCATGGGTAAGACTCTCATGCTGGGCCTTCAAGGTAGGAGCTTCTGGGTGGTAGGAGGATTTGGAGGAATAGGGCAGGAGAATGACAGGGCCAGGGAGAGGTGGGCAGCCTGCTCAGGGGAAGTGCTCGGGAATTCAGAGAGCTACCAGGAGTGGTACATCCTCTGGGGGAGAGTTTTGCCCTCACCAGCTTGCTTGTTCCCCAGAGCTGCTGAGCCAGTATCGTTCCTATCTAAAAGATATCAAGTTGCTTCTCTCTTGGGTTTTCAAGACTATACATCTTTAGAAAAACAGAAAGCCTCATCTGACTCACATGGAACATCTGTGGAGTTTGCACCCATGACCTAGTGGTTAGCAGCCCAATGCTTATCCCTCTACACCACTAGAGCTTCTTTGTTGTTGTCTAGCAGATGAAAAATCTGAGGTTCAGACAGCGCAAGTGACTAACACAAAGCTATACAGCCAGTCTGTGGGTTCACAGAGAGCCTGGTTCCTTCACTTTGGTCCTAAATTTCGCCTGGAGAGCAGTGGCTGTGATGGCCAGCCAGGAAGGAGGAAGATCAGGATGATAATGAGACTCTTCTCACGGAACTGCGGGGCAGATGAAGAGAATCATGCCTGACACAATAGGCACTCAGGGGATAAGCAGTGAATTGATGAAAACCTCCTTCCCTCGTGAGTGCATCTGCCACCCCCAGGCCTGGAGGAGGCTGCAGACTCCTTCCCAACTCCTCTTCTCTCCCCTCAGAACACGGAGTCTCTCAGCCTGAAGTGGACACAGCTCTGGGTCGTGTGCGAGGCCGGCAGGTGGAGGTGAAGGGTACAGCCCGCCGAGTGAATGTCTTTCTAGGCATCCCATTTGCCCAGGCACCACTGGGGCCTGGCCGGTTCTCAGCTCCGCAGCCAGCACAGTCCTGGGAGGGTGTGCGGGATGTCAGCACAGCCCCTCCCATGTAAGTAGCCTGGTAGATATGGGTAAGCAGACTGACTGGCATGGGGCCCTCTCCTGGGGCTGACCAGCTGGCACTTGGGTTTCCACTCTGGCCACAGGTGCCTGCAGAACAAAGAAAGAATGGACAACTTCAGGTTTTCGCTGAACGGGAAGCACCAGATGTTCTCCATTTCCAAAGACTGCCTGATCCTCAACATCTACAGTCCAGATGGACCCACTGCAGGGACTGGGAGGCCTGTGAGAGCCCTGTCCTCCCATGCAGCTCTGTCCTTCCAGCCTGTCCCCTCTCTACTCTCCATCCCTGTCCCCTACCTGCCCCAGAGCTCCTGACCTTGTCCTGGCTGGGAGATGGCAAAATGGGACCCTAGGACCTGAGGTCAGTTCTACGGCCATCTCTGTAGGTCATGGTGTGGATTCATGGGGGCTCGCTGATGGTTGGTGCTGCCACCTCTCACGACGGGTCAGCCTTGGCAGCCTTCGGGGACGTGGTAGTGGTCACAATCCAGTACCGCCTTGGTTTCCTTGGCTTCCTCAGGTAAGAGGCAGCCCTGGAGGAGACATGGACTGATCTCAGGAGAGGTGGGGGCCAGAGACTGATTGGGAATCTCTCAGGTGGGGACGGTGGACTTAGGGTCTTCTCTCTCTGCATCATGGACAGGGAAGGGTGCTCTCTGAGGCCCCACTCTGGGGAAGAAGGCCAGTCAAAGCCAGAGTTGATAACGACTTTGTCCCTTGGCCAGAGGGTTTGGGCTCCTGGACTGGGTCATGAACCCAGTGTGGTGTGGGGACAGAGAACAGCTCTGGAAACCACCGAAGAGCCAGTCCTGGCTTTCTGTCCAGCCAGGCGTGCCCATACCACATGGGAGCATGTGCATGCCTAGCATGGCTCAGAGCCAGACCAGACACTGGGCACAGAGGAGTCTGCCTGTGCTAACCAGTGCCTTCCCTGCCACCAGCACTGGGGACGGACACGCACCAGGAAACTGGGGCTTCCTAGACGTGGTGGCTGCTCTGCGCTGGGTACAGGGAAATATCAGCCCCTTTGGGGGTGACCCCAACTGTGTCACCATCTTTGGGAGTTCTGCAGGTGCCCTAATGACTTCTGCACTGGTGAGTCTGCTCTCAGGTGGGGGCAGGGGCAATAACTGGAGGCTTCTGTGTCCCCGAAGACCCAGCTCCCCTGTCCTCCTCTGACACTGTGTGTTCTCTGCTGCACCAGGTCCTGTCCCCACTGGCTGCGGGGCTGTTCCACAGAGCCATAGCCCAGAGCGGGGTCATCACCCTCCCAGGGTTCTTGAATTCTGACCCACTTTCCTTGGCTCAGGTCTGTGTCTTCTTCACCCTCTCAGCTTCCCCTGCTGCATATTGGCCCTGGGACTGTGGAAGGATTCTCTATTGACACAGACAGTCCTGCTAGGATGAATGAAGGATGCATTGTATGGGAGCTAAGAGGGAAAAATGCAAGTGGTAGATGGGGGCACTCCGGGTGGGCTACCGGAGGAGGCCACCACTGCCTGTCATATCCTCCAAGGTGTGGCCTCCAGGAGCAGCCCTCCCTGCTCCAAGAAGTATGAAGGAAGCCCATTTTCCCAATCACCCTGCTTCCTGAGCAATGCATGGTGGTGGTTGTGTGCCATGGACATAGTGGTTCCATCTCATAGCAACCCTACATAGGGTTTCCAGGGCTGTAAATCTTTACAGAATAGAAAGCCTCATCTTTCTCCCACAGAAGAACCAGTAGTTTCAAACTGCTAACCCTGAAGTTAGCAGCCTGATTCGTAACCACTATGCTACCAGAGGAGTCCTGGTGTGGTGCTGTGGGCTAATGAGTCAGACTGCAAAGTTGTTTGAACTGCAAGGTCGGTGATTCAAGCTAACCTGCTCCTTGGAAACCCTACACAGGGTTGCTATGGGTCAGAATCAACTTGCCAGCACTTAACAACAACAAAGCTACCAGAGTTCCTTGAGAAATGCACTGTTGTTGTTAAGTGCCGTTGAGTTGATTCCAACCCATGGCGACCCTGTATAGAGTTTCCAAGGAGCAGCTGATGAGCTTGAACTGCCGACCTTGCAGTTCAAACGGTTTTGCAGTCTGCCACATTAACCCACATTGAGCAATGCACTAGAGCCTCATAATAAAACTTAGAAAATGGGTGGAGGAAGACTCAAAGGGCCCCCAGCTATAAACTTCATCTGCAAAGGCTGCATATGGGAGATCAGGTGACAGGTCTTAGAAGCAGCAAGCCATCAGGAAGGGAATGGAACAGGCCAAGGGGCAGAGCTGGGAGTGAAGGACTGGAAAGGTAGGAGAATCCTAGGGACTTCACTACCTCTGCCCAGGAAACTGGCTTTGTCCAGAGAGAAGGAAGAGAGGCAGGGTGCCAGTCAGTCTGAGCCACCTTCTCAGAAGCTCACAGGGGCCTTGGAGTGGAAGGGGCATTGGAAGGAGCAATCAGAGTTCAGGCAAGAGAGAGGGGGTGGGGCATGGGCAGGACTGTGCTGTGGGGTGAAGGGGGTGGCAATGAGCTGGACTTGGGAGGCTGCTCTGTGTTCTCAGTGCCCTCACCTGGAGAGCAGTAGGCTGGGCATCTTTACCCTCTGTGACTCATGTCTGGTAAAGGTGATTGGGGATGTAGAGGCTTCACCATGGGCAAAGTGCCTCTGATCCAGAAACAGCATCAGCCTGCCAGCTTTCCCACCAAGCCCCTCACACTGACCATGGGAGGGTTTCCAACCACAGACCTGAACTCCTTCCCTGGCTCTCCATGTTCTCAGAAAAACACCTTTGCCAAACACTCCCAGAGTTCCTGCTGGTTGTCACCTTCCCAGCCTGCCTTTCAGGGCCCATGAGCAGCCTAGTGCTACACTCCAGCTTCTAGTGTCACTGACTCCCTGCCCCTGTCCCTACCCGAGCCTGACCCCACCACCATCCCCTAGGCTTCAGCTGGCACTGCTGGGGTTCTCCCTCAACAAGCCCTTCCTATTTCCTTCTTCATTCTGCCTCTAGGGACAGAATTAGCTACATAATATCACTGTTCTCAGAGAGGCAAGGGGGACCTGGCCCACATGGGTCATGACAGTATGACAGAATTGGGGGCACACAAAGTGTCTGGGGATCACCCACA